CCGCTGAGCCATCTCACCAGCCCCTCCTGCTGGGTTTAAACTCACTATGTAGCACAGGCTGGCCTCGAACTCATGGGGAACCTCCTGCCTCAGCCTCCCAAGTGCTGGGATTGCAGGCATGTGGCACCATGCCCAGCTGTTCCTGTTGTGCTAGCCAGGACAGAGTGACTCCTTACATCCAGACTGGAAACTAGATGTCCCTAGATGTGCTGTTTGAACACACGGTTGCCACATGTGTTAGTCTGTTACCATGTGCTTAGTATTTTTTTTTTAAATTTTTTTTTTTTTTTTTTTAACATTTAGTGTGTGTGTGTGGCGCCAGCTCAGAATGTGGTGCTGGGGGATCGAACCGCGGTCCCTGTGCTTGCTTGTTCCAAGTAGGTGCTTTAGACCACTGAGCCATCTCTCCAGCCCCCCATGTGCTTAGTATTCATGAAGGAGAGATGCTCCCTGAAGACTCCTTTCCATCTAGATTCTCCTTACATTGGGGCCTATTTATTAGGTGTTTCCTTTTGTAGTGTAGTTCATTTACCAAATAATTCACCGTTTAAAGCACAGAGCTGGGTGTTTCTCATGTATCACAGTGGCGTCCCGGCAGCTTCTGAGCACTTCCTAACTCAGAAACCCCAGCCCGTCTGTGTGCAGTGCCAGAGCCCGCTGTACTGTCAGTGCCCCCCTCCTCCCCATAGGTCAACTGCCCAGGACATTGCTTGTGCTATGGAGTCGCAGACTCTGTGGCCTTTCCTGATCCCCACCCTTCCCTCAGCACGCGGATAACAACACCGTGGACTGTGTTGCAGCACACCTTCATGCTCGCTTGCTTTTTTTGCTTACTGCTCCACCCCCTGGGTGATTGGAGCACCCCATTCTATTCATGCGATTGATTGTGTGAGAGGAGCATTTAGTCATGGTTCCCTCTGGCCCTGGTGAGGAATGCTGGTAGGACACTGCGAGGGGCTTCCGGGGTCTGGTGCCTGCTGAATGCTTGGAAAACCAGCCGGGCAGTCTGCTAATGTGGTGGCGCTGTCTGTCCCCGCAGCAGTGCATGAGGAAGGCTGTGGTTCCTGGGCGTGCTGTGCTGCTGTGGTGTGTGGTGACAGCCATCTGTGGTGTACAGGGCATTGTCACTGTCATTTGGGTCTGCATTTCTCCAATGACTGCTTTGCATGCTTTTGAGGCCTTCTTCTCTATTGGGCAAATTATCCTGCCTTTCTGGACCAGTTGTTTAGGTGGTCATCCTTCTCGCTTATTTACAGGTCTTGATTTTTTCCTATGTACTCACTCCCACTGTTCATCTTCCCTTACCTGTCACACACACCCAGAGGAGAGCTGGCACCTGGCTGTATCCTCCTGTGAGTTTTGTAAGATGCAGGGCAGTGGGTCAACCTGCATCCTGTGCCACTGTGATGCCAGCCCTGGCACTACCTTTCCTCCTGCTCTGTTATTGCTGGTGACAGGGCTCAGCTGTCACAGTGGTATTCCTTCACCAACATCCACTCAGTGGCTGCATTGCATGTGACTTCCTGGAGAAATGCCTGGTTCCCGCAGCTGCTGCCTAAGCCCCGGCTTCCCCACTACATCAGACCCAGAGGTCCACCTTGGCTTGTCCCCCATCCACCTGTCATGCAGCAGATGCAGATTGGCGCCTCAGTCCGTTCCAGCGCTCTTGTGCTGGGTGGGTCCCTGTCTGCCTGGAGCTGGCACCTGGGGAGGGAGGTGGGCGCAACAGCTCACTGTGCCCGGGTCTCTCTTGCTCACTTTTCTTCAGTGAGCTGCTCTGAGGTCGCTCTTGACCAAGTCCTGGTCAGCCGGGAGGAGCAGGCCAATGCAGGCTCAGTGCTGAGGGCGGCAGTGAGGTTGGCGAGGTTGGGACGCTGCAGTGGAATGGGTGGCAGGGTCTGGTTCTGCAGGACCCTGTGAGCCCAGAGGAGCCACAAAGGAGTCGGCCTGTGGAGCAGTTGTATATGTATCTGTATATTTTATTATTTCTTTTAGGTTTTTGATATAGTCTCACTATGTATATGTAGCCCAGGTAGGCCTCAAATTTACAACCATCCTCCGGCCTCAGCCTTCCAAATGCTAGATTTCCACATGTGTGCCACCACATGCAGCACAGATGTGTGTTTCTAAAGGAAATGCCTGGCATCGATGGTCCTGGGGGGTGAGAGTGCTACAGAGATGGACAGGAAGCAGTTGCAGTAGTGGCCAGGCAGAGGGAAGGGTGGCTTAGTGCAGGGTAACAGCTACAGGGTCCACAGATTTTACTGTGAGACTAACCAGATGCTGAGCATGTCCTGTTTGTGGTGTGTGGTTCGTGTCTGGTGTTTCAGTGTCCTGGTGCTGCATTGGGAACCACTGGGAGCTGAGTGAGTTTACAGTTTTCTCTGAGCAAACTGATTTCAGCTGGGTGGCTCTTCCACTTAGGTGCCCCAGGCTGGGTCACTCAGGTGACTGCCTTTGCTTGGTCCTGGCTTAGGACTGGACCGCCTCTGTTCCAGGTCTGTCTGTCTCTACTGACCTCTGGTTTTTGGCTGCCAGTTGGCTCCTGTCCCAGGATGTTGCCTTCACTGCCCTCTGATTGGTCACTGCCATTCCAGAAGCTGCCCAGACTTCCTGAGGAGGAGAAATCAGCTCTGCCTGGGACTCAAGGAGCCGCTCTTTCCTCCAGGGCTAGGAGGAGTGGTTTGTGGCTGTGTTTGGAAACCTTCACCACAGCTTTGACTGTTACTCTTAAACTTTAAGCCCTGGAAGCATTTCAGAGTTGGCTTTTGAAAATGTTGGTGTTCAGGCTGGGAAAGTATGAGAGCAAATTACAAAGAAAGAAATCTTGCTCTTCTTTCAACAAAGTGATTTTCTAGGCTAAGACTAAAAACAAGTTTAGGTTTTTAAATTTCATCTACCCCTTGGCACTAAACAACTGTATAAATGCACCTTTTCATCTTCCCTCCGCACCCTTTGCTGTAAAACCCTAATTGCGCAGTTTCTGTTAGCTCACGGCTGCGGGTCTAGGCGCGCTTCTTGCTAGCAGCACCTCCACGCAGCTCTTGGGGTGCACAGGGCACACCGAATTACCTGCTCTGCAGAGAGCCCTCTAGAACTGAGCTGGGCCTCCGTGCTTTAGGGATGATACTCCATATCACTCCTTATTTTGGCTAAGTTTATGTATTCAAAAAAGGAGTTTTTAAAAAAATACACATATATGGACAGCAGTAATTGCCCCCTGCTCTTGGGATAGCATGGTGGTCCTCTGATGCGGCTGAGTATATGTGAGCTCCTCAGGCCTGGTGGCACGTAATGCTAGCACATGGTGGAAGGCAGGATGTAGCCAACAGGAGCTAGGAGAGGACACAAGTCCAGCTTGAGTACTGTGTTTCACTCATTGAAATGACAACATTTATAAATAACTTCAGATTTTTTAGGTATCAGGAATCAAACTTGACTTTGCTCTTATCAGGCAAGTGCTATGCCACTGAGCAATCTCCACAGCCATATCTATATATCTATCTATATCTATATCTATGTCTACATCTATATCTATATCTATCTATCTATATATATATATATTTTTTTTTTTTTTTTTTGTCTTTTTGAGACAGGGTCTCACTATGCAGTTCAGGCTGACCTTGAACTCACTTTGTAACCCAGCCTGGTTTGAAACTCAGAGTGATCTTCCTGCCTCAGTCTCCTGAGTGTTAGGATTATAGGTACATGCCTCCACACCTATCCTTTAGAACTTTTAAACTTTTAAAACTAGGGATAGGTTTTTGAATCTCATTTTAGGCCAGAGTGCCTCCAAGGTTTGTATTGATATTTAACTTCTCCAGATAACATGAAAAAGCCTACTTCCTGTTGCATAAAAAGATTGTAAGTGTCGCTTCCATGTGGAACTGAACTTTCTGCAAACACTTTCCTTGCGCAGACGGCCTTGCCATCCAGGAAGGGCTTTCGGCACCAGACCAGCAAGTTCCTGTATCGCTTGGTGGGCTCAGAGGACCTGGCTGTGGACCAGAGCATTGTCAGCCCCTACACTTCCCGTATCCTAAAGCCCTACATTAGGTATGCAGACAAAACACAAGGTTGGGCTTGGTAGGTCTGTGCAGGATGCGCTGCGCCTAGGCCGCCTGCTGGCGGAGTTGAGACCCAGCAGCATGAGCAGGCCCTGGAGGGACATTGGTCCCCATCCGCCATCGCCATTTACTCACTTCAGCTGTCAAGATGATCCTTTGAAAGACATAAAACATGCATGGTGTTAACTTGATATTTTCTCGTGATTATCATAAATCATTGTTTTAAGTAGTAAAGTTAAGTATAGTTAGTACTTTGTGAAATGAAAATAAAAAGGAGATGATGTCTCGGTTGAGTGAGCCAGTAGTGGGCTGCATGTTGGGACCTTTTCTAATCTGGGTCCCTGTGGTGACCTGAAGCAGAACTCCCTGGAGAGGCCTGCAGGGTGTCAGCAGGCCCCAGCCCTCCCTGCCCAGCCCTGGGTTCCGGGTGGATCTCTTGGCAGGCGGTTGATGAGCCCACTGGCACTTGGGGTGAACCATGGGCCATCTGTATCGCTGCACCTAGCAGCGCTGAAGAGTGATGAGGGGTTTGGCCCATGAATTTCAGGTTTCATGCCAAAAAGGTGTTCTATCTATAATCAAGCTAGTTAGCATGTACACTGGTGCATATTAGTTTAAAATTTTAGGTATGTCAAAGTGCATAGGAGTCACATAACTGGGAATAACACCGGGCTTTTTCTTGACTTTGTTTATTTTCTATGTGTGGAGGCGTGATTACGAGACAAAGCCACCGAAACTACAGCTCTTATCCCAGATTCGTTCCCACCTACACAAGAGTGACCCTCACTGGACACCGGAGCCTGATGCACCTCTCGATTACTGCTATGTCCGGCCAAATCACATCCCAACAATCAACTCCATGTGTCAGGAGTTTTTCTGGCCTGGTATGTTTCTCCCTCCAACCAGGTAGATAGATTTCAGTAGGCCTCATTGCAGGAGTTTTCAAATCAGTGCATGCCACATGACCAAACCTGCCACCTTTCTTCATGGGGACTTTTGTTTGAGACATGGTGTCTCTCTGTAATCCAGGCTGGCCTTGAACTTAGAGCTGTCCTCCTGCCTCAGTCTCCCAAGTGCTGGGATTACAGGTGTGTGCTGTCATGCCCTGCTTCCTATGTGATTTTGTGTAGTTTCTCTGCTGACACAGAAATACCAAAATTAAATGACTCTTACTTTTCTGAGCTTGAGAAGAAACCAACAGTTGCAATAATACACAGTATTATTCTTTGTTCCTCTTCCCTGTTTGTCTCTGCCTCCAGAATAAAAGATCCATCCTGCTTTGCTTCTATCTTTGTTCAGGTGGGAGGTAATGTCTGCCACACATACATAGGCTGGTAGCTTGGGCATGTTTGGACGCTTTTGGTTTTAGCTTAACAACTCAGTACTTTTGTGTTTATCTGATCCTTGGAGAGCACAGCCCAAGGGCATTTTTGAAAAGGCAAATTCCCTGATCGTAGACTGCAGATAGGAATAAGGCCAGGAGGATTCGTCATTTCAACTGTCTCCCAAGCCATCAACTAAAGGGACACATTTTGTGCTAAACAGAACACATTCTTCCCAGCCTGCTTAGAAACCTAAGGGACTCTCCCTGGATCCCCAGCTCCTCTGACCAGTAATGCCAAAGAGGAAGGTGACCTTCCAAGGTGTGGGAGACGAGGATGAGGAGGATGAAGTCAGTGCTCCTGAGAAGAAGCTGGTAGACCCAGTGCCCGGGGGTCCTGGGAGCCGCTTCAAAGATAAACACTCATTGGACAGTGATGAGGAGGATGAGGAAGATGAGGAAGATGAGGGCTCCAGCAAATATGACATCCTGGCCTTGGAGGATGTGGAAGGTCAGGAAGCAGCCACGCTTCCCAGCGAGGGGGGGTGTGCGAATTACGCCCTTCAACCTTCAGGAGGAGATGGAGGAAGGCCACTTTGACGCCGATGGCAACTATTTCCTGAATCGGGATGCGCAGATTCGAGACAGCTGGCTGGACAGCATTGACTGGGTGAAGATCAGGGAGCGGCCCCTTGATCAGCACCAGGCTTCGGAGGAGGAGGACGAGGACAGCGTGGGCCAGACCCCGATGAGTGCCCAGGCCCTCCTGGAGGGACTTGTGGAGCTGCTGTTGCCAAGAGAGACAGTAGCTGGAGTGCTGAGGCGCCTGGGGGCCCGCGGGGGAGGCAAAGAGGGCAGCAAGGCACCTCGGTGGCCCAGTTCCCCCCAGCGCCTGGACCGGCTGTGTGGCTTGGCCGACCAGATGGTGGCTCGAGGCAACCTTGGTGTTTACCAGGAAACGAGGGAACGGTTGGCCATGTGGCTGAAGGGTTTGGGCTGCCGATCTCAGGGACCCCGAGGTCCCACACCTCCACCCTCCCTGGATATGTTTGCTGAGGAAGTAGCGGAGGGGGAGCTGGAGACCCCTACCCCTGCCCAGAGAGAAGAAGCAGAGTCACCAGGCGATGGTTTGATGGATGTGATGTGGGAATATAAGTGGGAGAACACGGGAGATGCCGAGCTGTACGGGCCCTTCACCAGTGCCCAGATGCAGACCTGGGTGAGTGAAGGCTACTTCCCGGATGGTGTTTACTGCCGGAAGCTGGATCCTGCTGGCGGTCAGTTCTACAATTCCAAATGCATTGACTTTGACCTCTACACTTGAGTCTGCTGCGTGCTTGCGTGCGTGCGTGCGTGCCCCATTTGGCTGCCCCTACTTTCCTGGACTTTGGTGGGGGAGGCTGCAGCTGCCTTGCGCCACCTTTGCATCAGTTTCCCTTTTCCCAATAAAATGCTGGGTGTGAAAAAAAAAAAAAAAGAAAGAAACCTAAGGGAGTAGTAGCTGTCTTCAGGGATTAGAGGAGATGTTACAAAGAGCCTCGTCACACTAACTGTCTCATAATCACATGATGGTTGGTGGCAGCTATGTGCCACTCTTCTGGGACTGACACTGGGAACACCTGTGACTTCTGCCTTTTTGCCAGGCAGCTTCCTTGCCTTTCACCAGAATGTGTTTTTGTCTGTTCTTTACCATGAGCTGGGGGTGCTCCTCCTGAAGAACCCCCACCCTGTCTGTGGGTGGGTGAGGCATCAGATAGGACGCTGTCTAGGGCTCCACTCCACTTTGTCAGGTGCTGTGTCCACACTGCTTGGGCAAGAAGCCCTGAGACCTTCTCGATGGCCATGTCACATGCAGCAGGGAGGTCGAGACGCAGCTGAGTCCAGCTCTGACCTGAGCACTCTGCTGCTTTGAGTCCCTCTACTCCTGCTAGGACATGTGCTTAGAAGGGACTGTCAATTTTAATGTTTTCTGAAGTTCTGTTTTATGATTTAAGTGTGTGGCATCTGTGACAGTATCCTTGTGTCCTATTAGCTCTTGGGTGTCGCTGTAAATGTGGTGTGGCTGAGTCCCAGAAAGTGCAGGCCTTGAGCTCTGGCCCTCCTTTCTCATTAGGCATCGACCTATCTGAATGCCTGCAGTACCCTGACTTCAGTGTGGTCGTGCTCTATAAGAAAGTCATCATTGCCTTCGGCTTCATGGTTCCCGACGTGAAATACAACGAGGCTTACATTTCATTTCTGCTCGTCCACCCAGAATGGAGAAGAGCAGGGATCGCAACGTTCATGATCTATCACCTGATCCAGGCAAGTTATCTCCACTCATGCTGTAGTGTGAACCATGCAACTTACCTTTCAGGGCGCCCCGGGGACTTGGAGGGCGTGAGAGGCTGAGCCAGTCCTTTCCAGCACTGCCAGGTAGATCCTCGGAGACCACATGAAAGGGGCCAGTGGTCACCACTCTGAGGCTCCAGCCCCATAGTGAGGCTGCTGTTCAGCCCGGGTACAGGGAAACTGGTTGTGAACACCTGTCCTACAGAATGCCAAGGTAGTGCTTTGGCCCACGCTGCCTGCTTGGCCCCCTGAGGGCTGAGCTGGGCTGGGTTTTGTCTTCGTGCCCTCACCAAGTGGGGCTGTGATGTTGCTGAGACTTAAGTTCTAAGACTAAGCCCTACTTTGATTTCTCTCTTTCACCTTTGGAGTACGCCATCTATTTGTTGCTAATATAAAACAAATGCAGGGGATTTTCTCCCTAGAATTTTTCTGCTTTCACTTAGGAACTGATAGGTATGGAAGATTATGTATAAAATCCTGATGTAGACAAGATTCACTGTATTTTGTTTGTTTATTTTTGTGACAGGGTCTGTCTTTTGTCACTGCTGAGACAAAATACCTGACTCCCACAGTTAAAGACAGAAAGATTAATTTAGCTCACAGTTGGTAGAGGTTTCAGTCCATAATCGGCTGGCTGCAAGGCAGCAGGGCAACAGTTCATGGCGGCAGAAGACAGCAAAGCTTCAAGCAAGAGCCAAGTCTCTAGCTGTGCCTTATGTGCAGGCCACCTGTCCTAGGGGGAAGGCATAGCACCCACACCCGTAATCCCAGCTGGACCGTGAATCAGTCACACATTGTAGAGTCCGCTGTCTCTGAAAAGCCCACTTCCTGTGACTGTGTGAGGACTGGGGGGACATCTAGGTACAAAAAATAACAGGGTGACCCTGAACTTGCTCTGTAGCCCAGGCTGGTGGGTGGTGATCCTTGGTGTAGTCTGGTACTCTCTCTTTTGTCCCCAAACTTCAGGTGCCTTGGATGAGGGGGAGGATAACACAGAAAGGACGCTGTCAAGTGACCTGTGCCAGATCTGTTACTTACAGGCCTTGACTTAGTGATGGAATTATAAATAAAACAGTAAAATTAACTAAATGTCTACCTTGGTCCTTTGCCTTAGAGGTGGGGAAGAATATGGTCACCTCCAGACTCTAGCTTCAGGACGCATAGATCAGTGGCAAAATATTCCAAGTTGTGAGTGGCACTGAGCCTTCCTTGGTGTCACCCAAGCCCCCACTTGGGAAGGGCTCCTCCACTCTCATTTGCCTGCTTCCGCTCTCTCGGCAGACCTGCATGGGCAAGGACGTGACCCTGCACGTCTCAGCGAGCAACCCTGCCATGTTGTTGTACCAGAAGTTCGGCTTCAAGACTGAGGAGTATGTGCTGGACTTCTACGATAAGTACTACCCGCTGGAGAGCGCTGAATGCAAGCACGCCTTCTTCCTGCGGCTGCGGCGCTGACGTGTGTCTGTTAGGAAACAGGTCTGTGGGAGGACCTGCATGTGACAAGTGTACCCCATGGGTGCAGTTTCTGCAGGCAGTGGGTGGCCCTTCCACTGTCACTTTGGTCCTTTCCAGACTGGCCTTGGCCAGAAGGGTCTCCTCCTTCAGCTCCGCTGCTGCAGTAGTGGAAGCCCCTGAGCTGCTGCTCTTGGAGAGGGCCTGCTTGCCCCAACCCAGGGTGAAAGCAGTGACCAGGAGGCTCCACGATGCCCCCATGACAGGCAGTTCCGGAGGTTGTTGCTGAACCGGCCCTAGCTGGTGCTGTGCTGTCACTGAGTATAAGAGGCTTCTGGGCCCCAAAGTTCTGTGTCTCTTTTGATGATCTTGTTCACCGCCTGGAAGAATAAATGTCTGTGTTGCTTTACCTGTTGGCATCCTTAACTTGGCCTCAGTGAGGACCCAAGGGTTCTGTTCGTCCTGCACCGGAAACTACCATGGGAGCTGAGCAGCTGAGCTTGCTACCAACTCCCCAGGAGAGCCGGAGGAGGCCAGGTTGGCTCTGTCTGCAGGACCCACCGTGCAGTGCTGGGTGGGGAAGGTGGTGCCACCCATGGTGGACCCCAGGAGCGTTTCCAGGCATTTCAGGTACTCCACCCCCACCTGGCATCAGAGCAGTAGCTGGGCTGTTTCCCCTCTTCATCAAGAGCTGTGGGCTGCAGGGCCAGGGAGGCCCAGCGTCCTGCAGAGAACCCAGCGTCCTGCAGAGAACCGTCCACATTTGTGTTCCTCACCCACAGCTGCAGAGCTGGCCTGGTGGAGGCACCCTGGAGCCTGCACGCAGCCGGGGCCTTTGTCCCTTGCGTGGGAATCACAGTAGCACCATCCCTCTCTCTGTTCACTTCACTTCTCCTCTTCTTTCCTCCATGTTTTCTGCTTTGTCAGGGTTTTTGTCCCACGAAATAAAATAAAAAAATCAGAAAACCAGCTTGCAACTGTTACCTGTGGAAGTGGAGCTGGTTTTTTGATTGTGCTGTGGGACTTGTCACCTCCTAGACCTGAAAAAGCTGCACTTGTGCTGCCTGGCCCATTGATGCACATTTGTGAGTCCTGAACGTTTTCAGTCATATGTGGCCTCAGAATGGGACAACCAGGGCCACGCTGTCTACACTCAGCTCTCACCCAGAATGTAGAAACGAGGGGTGGGGTGGGGGTGGGGGGATAGAGTCTCGAAGTGTAGCCAAGCCACCTTAAACTCTGACCTCATGTGGTCCTGCCACCTCAGCCTCATGAGTGCTGGGATCACAAGTGTCCACCACCACAACTACTGTTACAAGGTGTTTTTTTTGTTTGTTTGTTCGTTTTTTTTTGTTTTTTCCACTGTGGATTACCTTTTCTGTTTTTCTGGATAGAGCCCCAGAACTGTAACCCTTAGGTCAGAAGATGGGGTTGTTTTCTGTACCCTTTTCTCATTGCCAGTGTCGTCTTGGATGTATTAAGGATCTTAACTCAAAACTATCAGAATTAGGCATTTTCATATAAAGTCTTTTATTTATTACTACTTTTTGGTATTGGGGATCAAACTTGGGACCCTGTGCTTGCCAGACATGTGCTTATGCTGCTAAGCTATCTCTCTGGCCCCTTTAATTTTTATTAGTACATTTTTATAGTACATAATGCCCAGATTCCTTGTGGAGTGCTGGTCCATGTACCTAACACATCACACATTTTTTTTAGTGTGTGTGTGTGTGTGGCAGCTCAGCCCACCAGGGGGCGGGGCTGGCTGGCATGTGGTGCTGGGGGATTGAACCGTGGTCCCTGTGCTTTGCTAAAATTGTTCTAAGTAGGTGCTTTAGACCACTGAGCCATCTCACTAGCCCCACATCACACATCTTGTTTTTTGTTTTTCCTGTTTTTTTGAGACAGGGTCTCTATGTGACTCAGGCTAGTTTTGAACTCATTGTGTAGCCCAGGCTGGCCTCAAACTCATAGCTACCCCCTGCCTCAGCTTCCTGAGTGCTAGGATTATAGGTATATGTCACCACACCTGATTCTAACTCGTTTTAATGCTTTTTTGTCCCCTTTCCCTCCTCTCTCCCTTACCAATTCCTTTTTTTTTTTTTTTTTTTTTTTTTTTTGATACAGGATCTCTCCACGCAGTTCGGACTTGTAGCGTTCCTCCTATCTCAGTCTCCCCGTACTGGGATTACAGGAGTGTGCCATCATGCCACGTTTCAGTGGCCAGCACAACGTGCCCAGGGATCCAGGGCCAGCACAGCATGTGGTACCGAGGAATCAAACTTGGGACTTTGCACTTGCCAGGCAGGCACTTAGACCACTGAGCTATCTCCCAAGCCCCAAATTTCTTTTTTCTTTTCTTTTATGGCAGAACTGGGGATTGAACTAAGGCCCTTGTGCTTGCCAGGCAAGCACTTATTCTCCTGAGCGATCTCCCCAGCCCCCGCAGCCCCAAATTTCTAGGTAGACAGTAATTTAGATTGGCATGGTGGTGCACATCTGTAATGCTAGCACTGAGAGCTTGAGGCAGGGTTGCTCTGAGCATCTGTTTAAAAGATTTCTCTCCACAGTTTAGGTGGGAACCTCACCCTGGTTCCCCTTAGACAGCCTGTGACCCATGTCCCCAGAACTGGTGTCACCGGGTATTATAGAGCATGGGGCAACTACAGGAGGAAGGGCATGCAGGTCTTCTGAGTGCTGCTTTGATTTTTGCCACATCCTGTATACTTCAAATTCATTTATTTAGGGAAGGGTCTACAGGGTGTTCAGAGTCTCTACTAGATCGGACTTATAGTGATCCTCCTGTTTACAGCCTCCCAAGAGCTGGGATTACAGGCCTGTGCCACCACGCCCACTCTCAATTGCCCTCTCAGGGCTCCCAGCCGATAGAACCCTTGGCCCCTGCTTGCAGGTGCTTTAATCCACTGAGCTATTTGGCCAGACCCCAAATTCAAAACAAAACAAAACATTCTTTCCCCAGGCCCTCAGCAGGTCTTCACCCACACTAGGGGCCTCTGAGGCCTGGAGGGAGGACAATCGCTGGCTCTCTGGGTAGGCCTGATCCGCACTTTGCCTCTCAGATGGTTTCTAGGCCTCCTGTTGGCTCCCCCGAGCTGTTTTTGCGCTTGGGCTTAGAGGCCTCTCAGAGGTGTGAGGCTGGAACTGCCTGGCCTCCGGGCTTGGGTGTGGGCCCTGCTGTTGTCTTCTCAGCTCTGACACAGACTCCTTGTCCAAGCCCCAGGGCCTGCTCTGTAGGAACCAGAAAGACACTCTGTCTCTTCTCTCTCTCCCTCTCCCTCTCCCTTCCTTACTCTCCTCCGCCCCCCAGACATGGACTTGTTACTTGATTCCTTTTTTCTCGCAGTTTCCTGGTAGTTTGTGCTATCCCAGTAGTGCTTAAGCTTCTGGAAAAATCATCCACTGATTTTAGTGCTTCAGAGCCTAAATACATGCGCTGCCAGGTGTGGTGGTCCACACTTGTAATCCCAGCACTCAGGAGGCTGAGGCTGGAGGATCAGTGAACTCAAGGCCAGCTGAACTACATAGGGAGGCCCTATCTCGACAAAACAACCACAGGCAGTCTTAGGAGCGCAAGTGCAGACTAACATTTTGGGGACTTAATTGGCAGTTCCCTGGGGCTAGCAGAGAGAGGCAGGCTGGAGCCACATCTCTTTTTAAGTGGTGTCAACAACCAGAGCCCCAGCAGTCTTACCTAAGTCCAGAGGCAGTGTGCCCCCTAGGCACGCCCCTACCGGCTCCCTGGCCCTGTGACCTTAGGTGAGTAACAGCCTGGGTTCCTCATCCATGACAAGAATTGTTGGTATCAAATGACTTCATGTAAGTAAAAGCACCACCACCAGTTGCCTCACCCCGTACCAGTCCAGGGCCTGTCCCATGAACACCGCTTACCAGTTTATCATCCATGGCCTCATGCAAGCAACTTAACCTGAGTCTCCTTGGCTGAGAAAAAAGGCTGTGAGCTTGGAATGAGGTAGCATGAGTAACGGTCCTTCCTGGTGCGGAGTGTTTATAGCAGCTGTATCAGTCAGCTGTCACTGTGTAAGAAACACACCAACCTCCTTGGAGCGGCAGCAGTGAGCGTTTCTCCCAAGTCACAGGTTGGGCAGGCTGTCACTGTTCTAAGGCAGTCTGTGTGTGTGGCCAGGTTGCCTCCTGTTCCTTCTTGCCCAGCCCAATCTCCAGGGGACCATAGCTTTCAGGTGGTGGTTTCAGGTTATAGGGGGCAGCTCGCCAGGCCTGGCAGGTGCTGGCACAGCATCATGTTGCCCCCTTCCCAGAGCCAAAGCAGGACTCATTCTCAAGTGGGTCAGAAACTGTGTGTGGGGCCGGGGAGATGGCTCACTGGAATAAGTGCTTCCCTGGCAAGTGCAAGGGCCTGAGTTCAAACACTGGTTCTGGAAAAAAAAAAACAAAAAACAAAAACAAAACTATGCGTGCGTGCATGCACATGTGCGTGTGTGCATGTGTTGGCCATAAAATGGTAACAGCACCTGAATGCAGGTAAGGAATATGTAGGTGTCCTTTATACTGCTTTTATTTTTGCAACTTCCTGTATAAACTTGCAGTGATTTCCAAATCTAGAAATAAAGTTGTATGTGAAATCACCTGAAATCCCAGCACTGCTACGTAGTGCATTCAAGGCCAACCCAAACTACATAGTGAAACCTTGTCTCAATAAAATGAAGTAGAATGGAATTGGAAATGGAAATGAAAAGCCAGTGTCTCCCCCACCGTGTCCAGCCCTCTAGGGACACATCGTTGTGTACTTTTATGGTTTGAATCAAAAATTCCCTCAGAAGGCTTAATATACTCAGTGGTTGGACACTAATCTGTGGATGGACCCACCAGTGGGACATATCTGGAGGCACTGAGGCCTCAGGCAGGGGTATTACCCTGAAGGGGTCACCATGTCCTTTCCCTTTCTCTTGTTCCCCCCTCCACCTATAAATGGGGTCGATTTCCAGCACAGTGAATTTAGTTGTTCTTCCCCGAGGTGCAGCCCCTCACTCAGCCATAGGAGGTAACCTCACATCCGGGACACTCAAGTACTCATTCCCTTAATTTCCTCCATGACTCCAAGATGCAAAAGTCACTTAACCCTCTTGGGCCACTGAGCAGTGACCACAATCATTCCTCATGTAACTCCCGGGAAATGGCTGTTGTGTGTCCAAGACTCCGACTTGGGCTGGCCTCAGCTGAGCATCCTCTGATTCGGGCAGCTCAGCACCTGCTGGAATGACCCAGATGGTGTCTACCATAGCAGCCTGCGCTGACATATAGGGGAGGACACAAAGTAGGGTGGAGCGTGGGAGACGTGGCAACCCAGCTGATGGAGCCTGCCCCAGATTGTTGCCATGTTTTGTTGGCCAAAGCAAATCCCCAGGAAAG